TCAGGAACAGCATTAGTGCAGAGCACAGGGGAGTGGCGCAGAGAGTTCAAGACTGGTAGTAGGTGAGAGAGTGTGGAGTGCTGATGGGGATCTGGGGACCAGTGGGAGGGCTAGGCACCACTTGCTGGTCAGGCAAAGAGGTGGGCACAGAGGCAGATTTGTGCCTAGAAGCAAAAGCATAGGGGCTTATACTGAGACCTTTTACAGAGGGAGAGCACTGCTGTAGAATCCAACCCCAGCCCTTGTGTCTGAAAGGTCAATCAACAAACCCACAAAGAAAGGTCCTGGTCTTTCCCTCCTTGGGGTTCCTGGTGCTCTCATTCATTCCCCACTGTGTAGGTCTCCAGACTCATCTGCCCAGTGGGGCCACGGGCTCCTTAGCAGGCCTTGGCCTCCTCTGTGTTCATTGTGGGCCTAGGAAGTACAGGGCCCCTGACAGACACTTGTTCAACACCTGCCAGTACGGAGCTTGTCAGCTGCTTCTAACGAACTGGAATTGCAGAGGGGCCAAACAGCAATCAGAGCAGCTTCTAAAGAAATCACATGCCACAGGGCTGTTCAAGTCAGCCCCTCAGTGGGATCAAGTATGCTCAGAGGAAGGAGAAGGTTCTCAGAGGCTGGTAGGTGATACTTCTTCAGAATTAATGCAAACTGATTTCCCAGCCACAGGGGCAGTGATTTGTCAGACTAAAATTTCTGGATGCTGCTCCAGCTTCCATAGGAGGCTCTAAGTCCTTGAGCAGGGAGCTCTTTCTCCTTGTTCCAGGAGGAGACGGGCCTCCTCTCCCCAAGTTGTGGGTTCTAATGGCTGCTGTCATCCTCATTGTGATGGGCTGGGAGGTGTGCAGGGTCAGGACTCACCCCCTACACCTGCTGGAGAGGGAAGGTGTGAGGACAGTGTGCAGAGTTATGGGTGGCAGGGAGCTAATGGTTGGGGAGCCCAGCCCAAGGTAGCATGGCCAGGGCCTCCTCTGTAGCACAGGCTGCTCTGCCAGTCAGGTGACCACTCTGCGTCAGATGTCACATGCACAGGCTCGCAGCACAGCTGTCAGGCCTTCATGTCCCCACCCAGGGTTTTGCAAACCATGTAGGGATGAGGCCCAGGACTAAATGATTTCTTAGCACTCTCTCAGGGAGACACAGCTACCTGCCAGGACTGCATTTACGAGTGACCTCTGGCCCAGACCCCAGCTGTGGTCAGTAGGCTGTGGCTCATGGTAGCCAAGGCCCCAATGAGCCAGATGACTGCCACACCATGGAAAGACACAGGTTCCCATCAGCCCTGGAGGACTGGCTTTCATCTTTCATTTCACAGACAGCTTAAAACTGTTATGGAAAAACATTTTATTACACATATTCAACTTGCTTCCAATGAAGTGATAAATTTTCATGTATAATGGCATCCAATGTTTGTCTTCTGTTCTTTTTTTTTTTTTCTTTTCTTTCAAAACCAGCACCAAAAAGTAAGACAAAAATACCATGGGTACAGTACGTAATGTAAGTTAACTAATGGAGAATATATACATTTGACTCAAATGAAAAACAAATAATGATATATTATTGCTATGGAGGATCTTTTCCTGTGTTCTGATCATATCAAACCATGAACTGACAGGGTTTTATTTTGCACCAATAAAAATAGCACCATAGGATCGTGAGAGTCTAGTTAGTAACACACATATGCAACCACAAAGGTACAGTACTTGAGCGACAGTACAAGGTGTTAACGGCACAGAAACATCACTGCTCTAATCACAGCTTCAGTGTCTCTGTAAAAAGTGGAACAAGAATGTCACGATGTTTTCACTGAAATGAATCATTTTTGGTGCCATGAACAGAAGGCAGCTGATGGATTACCAGAGGGGCAAAGCTAGCGTGAGCTAAAGGACTCAGCCATGGGTTTGGGGGAACCAATGGGGTATTTAATGATAGGCTAATCAATCATTTTCATTCCAAAGGTATGGGGCCCTTGCCAAAGTAGTCCAGTTGATCCAGCCAGGGTGGCCAGGACCTGTGCAGGTGAGCCAGCAGGGCCTCTCTAGCTCTGCACCCTCACTCCAATAGGTTAATATCTTTTGGTGAATTAACAGCTCCTTTGGAGCTGGGAGAAAAATTGAACCCCAGTTCCCTAAGAATTTGAGGGTTTTGTGGATTCAAGGAGCATGCTAGTGGCCAGGCCTGCCCTGGGGAGGCCTATGTTTTGCATAAGTCCTGGGGTAACAGCTGGTGGAGTAATCCGTAAAGGTGGGCCACTCCATCCTGACATTCTCTCAGTTCTTTCCACAGAGCACTAAGGAAGTTTCTCAACACTTTCTTGTTGATTCAAGTGGAACTGAATAAATTCCCTGCCATCCCCACCACTTCTCTGCCTCTAGGGTAGTTAAAACCAAAAGTACAGCCCATAAGACAGGGTTGAGAAGGCAGAGAAGGTTTTTTTTTCTCTTTCTGATTTAAGCTAACCCTAAGATTGTGACATTAAAAAAAAAAAAAAAACTACATAAACACAGCACCAATAAGTCAAAAGACACTTGGAGATGATCCCATGGAAGTTAGCTCAAGTGAGAGCTTCTGTCTGAATTAGAGAGCAGGTGGGTTTCTCATGGTAAAGTCCTAGAACATAGCACTCATGAACTGCACACCAAGCTGGTGAGCAAAAAAGGTTTCCCAGCACCTAGGGCCCTGCTCCCAGCCTCCCAGCCTCCAGGGCCTCTGTGCTCTCAGAGGCCACCCTGGCTATGGCTTTGGGTTTCTGGAGGGGACAGAGCTCTGTGGTGAAAGGTCAGGGGTCGTAGGAGGGGAAGACCTTTTTCATGCCTTTCTGGGTATCATCCTTGCCCCAGTAAGAAGATGGGTCAATAATGACAGCCATGACCATGATGGGTGCTGTGATGCCCAGGCCACAGGAGGGCTCGCTGGGCATGCAGAGGTCCCCACCAGGCTGGTCCGGGCACACCAGGCTGAGAGGCCCCGGAAGAAACTTACCCTGTGCTGGGATGAAGCAGTCAGGCCTTACTCTGCAGCCCCCAGGCCTGTGCTCATGTCCCCAAGAGGTCCTCATTGTGATCTTAACTGCAAGTAAGTGACTAAGGTCAGTGGAAAGCCACTAGTGATTCAGCATCTCTAAGGTGCAAAGCTTCAGTACGTGCTAGCTGGGGTGGATACCCCCAGAAGGTGGAGGGGGAGGCCCACATGCCCCCACAAAGCCGTCCCAGGCTCACTTTTTCGTTGGGCAGCAATCCCATCACCACAATTAGCATGTGTCCCATTCCATAGGACCTTGAAGAAACGCTCTTCTGCTTCCCCGTGGGGTGGACAGTAGAGCTCTGAAAACTAGATGCTTGCCCCAAATCCAGAGCCTTCCAGAATAATCTCCTTACGTGGGTGGTGTGGAGAACTAACCACTTGGTTCCGGTGTCCTCATTGGCCCACCCAGATTTAAACTCTCAGGGATAAGATCTCTAAGGCAAGGCCTGGGATTCAGAGAATGTTCTGAGATGGATAGAGGGGCAGCGTCCTAATTCTTTTGTAGTTGAGCAGGTAGATGAGAAGGAACGTGGTGCTCGCAGCCCAGCCCCCTCCAGAGTAGCCATTGGTCTCAGAGGCTCGCCAAAATGTCCTTCCATCAAGGGCTTTGCACTGGCTTTCAGAATAAAGCCTCTTTTAAAGTAAAACATCTCATTTTCAGGATGTACCCTCTGTGGTACATCAAGCACTAGGACTTCAAATGTCAAAAGCCAAGACAGAAGCACCAAACCACATCTCTCTCTTTTGATGGTTTTCTGCCAGAGGTGTTCCCCTTTGAGGTACACAGAATCTTAGAAATTATTATTTTTCTGTGACTCATGCCTATTTTTTCTCTACTGTAGAAAGCCATCCAGTGGCTGCTAACAATATATTAAGTACAAAAGCACAAATGGAATCATCAAGTTCACGCTCAAATTCTATGGGATTGGATTCTTGGGGCAGCCTTGCCGGGGAGCAGCTGTAGGGCTGGTGCACTCTTGGCTGGGTGGTGGGCTTTCCGTGCGCTAAATGCCAGGCCTCAGACCTGAGTGCTGTGCAACCCCCAGGCTGAGCGTCATGAGCTTGGTGGTGGCAGCTGGCGCATCTTGTTTGCATAGAAGTCCCTGCAGGTCTGGCAGCAGCGCTGGTACCACCGCATGTCCTGGCAGAGATTCTTTTCCCGAATGACCCGGCAGTACACTGTCCACTGATCCCCTGTGCATTTGTAGGTCAGAGCAGCTGAGGGAATGGCAGAGAGAGAACACCCAGGGGTGAGGGGTGGCGTGGTCATGTGATGCACACATCATGAGAGGGCCTTTCTCTGAAAGTTAGGACTCCCTCACCTTCACGCACATGTCAGTCTTGCGCAGACTTATGGGGCTGTGCCCCCATCAGGGGCACTGTGGATGCTACTTCCTGCCACAAGGGACACACTTCTGCATCCCACCCAGCTGCTTGACTGAATGCTGTAGTCTGGTACCTCTTCAGGGGAGAGGGCACTGGCCACCCTGCTGCTGAGCTAAGCATCACTTACTGCTGTCATGTGGCAGAGGACACTATTACTGTTGGCATTTATTAAAACAAGATGGAGCAAAGGACATCAAAGGAACCACAAAAGGACAAGGTCAAAGTACAAACAAGTGGCCAAATCTCCTTCAGGGTCTCAGTTGTGTAGAGAGAAGGCCCTGCTCAAAGGGGGATGCTGAGTGGGAGTGGGCTCTGCAAACTCAATGGTCTCTTCCCCAGATGAAGGTGCTTTGAGAGACCCCCTTTTTGCGGATGGGTCTCCAGTTTTAGGGAAATATTTCCCAGGGATTTAAGCAGATCAACATGAAATGTCCCTCTTCTCTTCCCGACCACCACCCACTTGCTCAGGGCACAGACAGCTGAAGGCCTAGGTTCCAAGCACTTGCAATCAAACTGCCCAGTAAAGTGTGACCCCTTGACCGAATGCAAACTTCAAAGAACAAATCCCTTTATTAAAAGGGATTTAGTGTAAAGGCTACACTCTAGGATTCAGAAGACCCCGCCAGACCCCAGATATGTCAGCCTCCAAGGCTGCACCTTGGGAATGACAGGGGCCAGAGGCCCAACCTCTCCCCCATGTCTGTCTGCTTCCCTGGCATCAGCCTAAGGGCCACCTCCATGATACCCTGAATCTTTCATTTCCAGCAAGAAGCACTTCCTTTCACCCCCTTCATACACAGGGATCCTAAAATGGTTAGGAGAAGAATATTCTCCTGTGTTGGCAGAGCAGCCAGTGGGATACACTCGGGGTGCTGTGTTTGAGATGGCAGTTAGCAAATGTCTTATGATAAGGAATGGAATCTCTGACACTGCCCCTCTTAAACTACACTGACACATGTTAGCGGTTATGTGACAAATATTGACTAAGAATGTGGCTTTCTGGCTACAACTCCATCACCCTTGGGGACTCACTGTCTGGGGGACTCAGCACGCCCCCCCACCCCAGGAACCAGGGCTAGGGAAGGCACTCACCGAGGCGAGGGGAAGTGATGGTGTTGGCATTGATCTTGTCGTTGCAGACCTCCTGGGAGCACTGTCTGTAGGCAGCTGGCTTTGAGAGGGGAGGACACTCGCTGCCATGACGCCCAGTGACCTTGTGCATGCACTGTACCACACGGGACTGCAGCCCCTTCCCGCAGGTCGATGAGCACTGCCAGAGACAGGGACAACTTGAGCTGGGGTCTGAACTGGACTTGGGGGCTGGGACAATGGCCTCCTAAGACACCTGCCTCTGGGCCTGGCCCCTGTGTATCATTCCCAGGTGCTTGTAGTAATTCAGGGCAAAGTAGCAGCTGCCTGATGAAAGACTATTTCAAACTGTGGGGGATTCATGCTTGTTTCTCCCCCACCCTTGGGTATGTTGAAGCCCTAACCCCCAATATTATGAGGTGGGGGGCCTTTGGGAGGTGATTATGGTTGATGAGGTCTTTAGGCTCCCATGATGGGACTGGTAGAGACTAGAGCTCTCTCCACTGTGTGAAGGCACCATGAGAAGATGGCTGTCTGCAAACCAGGAGGTGAGCCTCCGCCAAACCCCAGATATGTCAGCATCTTGATCTTGGACTTCTCAGCCTTCAGAACTATGGGAAATAAATGCTGTTTAAGCCTCCCAGGCTTTGGTATTTTGTGATAACACCCCCAGCAGATGAAGACGTAAGGCAACTGCTGAAATATTAACTCTGCTGGCTCCATTTCACTGCCCACCTCTGTTCCAAGCAGAGACCCAGGCTTTGAAATTCTCAAGATTGCAGGCAAGGTGCGTGGTTGGCCAGGGAGGGACCAGGCTTGATTATCTCAGGAGTGTCCCCAGTGTTCTCTGCTATGTGAGGCTCTGGGGCCTTTGCGTAGTCCTGGGCAAGGAGAGGAGCCCAATGACTGGAGTTGAATTTCCCACAAGCCTGGAAGGTTGGAGCTTACAATTAAGTAAAGCCTAAGAAAATAAAGTCCCACCTTTCTCGCATACCAGAGCCATGCACTAATACATGTGGCTCACAGTACTAATTTAGACACCACAGCCCTTGCTGCTGGCACCTCCAGGACTTGCAGCACTAAAAGCAGGTCAATGCAGCTGAGATGACCCGACTCCCAAGAAGTGGACCTTGGGAGACTTTGTTCATAGCCCTGTTCTCCTTGGCACTCCTCTTCACATCTTTATCATACTTCCTGGGGAGGGATGGCTTGGGATCTAAGACCTGTGCCCACATGCTGCTATCTGCACTCCTCAGCCTTTGCTTACTCCTCTGGGAGCCCTTCGAACTCTCTCCATTAAGCTGGTCTCTTTCCAGGAAGAGAGCCAGGTCCACACATGCACTTTGTCTGTCTGGGGTCCCCCAGCACCTACATAGCTCCTGATGCACAGGCTCCTGAGTGACTCTGCAAAACATTTTAATAGAGCAAAGGCTGTGAATACAGTAGCCCAGCTGGCGTTAATAATAGCACTGCTGGGTGGAGGGAGGAGAGGAGGGCTTGGAAGGTTGAAGCTGCCAGGTGCCACCTGGACCCTGTGTTTCCCAGCCCCCCCCCACACACTGGGCCTGGTATGGCCTGTGCTACACGAAGGGCTTTCCAGTGGGGAGGGGTCACCCAGCGCAGGCTCGGTGGCAGAATGTTGTGCTATCATCACGCCCAAGCGGGCATCGTCTCCTCCCAAGGCGCTTCTGCAGGCCAGTCCCTCTGCTTCCTTGTCTGACAAGCAGGTTCATGTTTCCTTTCATGTCAGAAGGATAAACATTCAGAGGGAATGACGCTTAAAAGGAACATGCATCTTCGAATCACAGAGAAGATGGGAAGACTGCCAGCAGCTCCCCTGCAGCTCTGTCCTCACAGGCCTCCTCATCCCAGGAGAACTCAGCAGAGGCTGCTCACAGCCCTGAGAATCCATCGTCTGTTACGAATACAGATGTCAGAGCTCCATCCCAGATGTCTGGTGTTAGCACAGGGTCACACATAAGTTTGTGAGGTGCTATGACAGTGTGACTTCTGCCTGAAGGGTGGAGCATCTTGGAGGAAGCTGGCTGCAGGTAGGAAGGTACTGCACAGAGTTACCTGGTGAACTTTTTAAAAATCTTGATATCCCAGACTGTTGGGGGTGGTGTTGCGGTGGGGTGGGGAGGGGACCCAAGCATCAGTGTTTTTTTCAAGTTTTCCAGATGGTTGCAACGGGCATCCAGAACTTCTGAACTTCCTCCCAGTGCCCTATGGAGAATGCAAAAAGCATTCTTTCTTCCTATGAAGTAATAGTTATACATGTACAAAGTCTGACAGTTAAGTTTGCAAACTCATCCTAGAAAAAGTGCAACATACCTCCTTGCTGAATGTCACTATAGTCACCTTTGAAGTACTCCCTCACTAGTGCCTAATATACCCTTCAAAGCACTTTTTCTAGGGTGAGTTTGTGAATCTAACTATGAGACCTTATACCAGTGGTTCTCAACCTTCCTAATGCCACGATGTATTTTCATTGTTACAAAGTGGTTGCGACCCACAGGTTGAGAATTGCTGCCTTACACGGTGATAGGGTGATAGGTCTGATGGCCATTCCAGAAAGAGTTCCAAAATTGCTTTGAAGAATTGCTGAGTTTATATATACAGGTGATAGGTGTGCTTGAATAGAAGGAAGCAAAGGCTTTCAGTCAAAATTATTCTTAGGGAAGAATCAGTTACCTTATTCTTTCTCACCAGTGTGGGGTAGAGGTGAGGGGGATGCCCTTCATTATTTTGTAGTCAAAGTGTTGCTTGGGAAATTGCCACTAACCTGAATGACCTCAGTCAAGGCTCACATAAATCTTATGGAGATCATGCAGGGGTTAAAAAAGATAGGTGGCAAAAAATTTAACTGTCTTCTCCTGGAGGTAGGATTTCATCATCGCAAATGAGGGAAGATGGAAGCTATGTTTACGATCATTTACAGAAGCATTCTGGGAAGTGGGTATAGCTGGAGCCCGAGAGTCCTCACAGACAGGGTGAAGGAAGGAGAAAGCCCAGGGTCCTAATGCAGCACCCTCAGGGCTTGCCACCCTCACGCAGCACAGTGCCACAACAAGGCAGAGCGAGGTCCCCCAACGTGGTGCAGTGTCACGTCGCAGCTGGTGAAGGACTGTGCTCTCAGGGCAGCTTCACAATGAGGTCAGACCTGACCAGGCCTCCTCTGGCTACTGCACAGGGGACTCAGAAAGTGGAGCCAGCGATGACAAGACAGACACTGCAAGTATCTGGCTGCACCATACAAAATTGCTTATATTCAACTGTTTTGACCCCATCAAAGCTGCAATTTCAGAACACTCTATGGCAGTAAAATAGTATTTCCAGATTCAAATATATTTATAAAACACAACTTTAAATATAGTGGTAAAATATGTAGTTACAAATAACTACATTAATGAGTTACATATTTTAAGTTGGCATTTGACTAGTCCATCTACACCATTAAAAACTTCTATGTGTACATTGGTCATATAATTTTAAAAAACTCTGCTCTCTGGGAAAACAGGATTACCATATAATTGGGGCTTATTTCTATGACTCTTTGGCATATACAAGGCCTCCTTTTGGAAGACAGGGATATATCTGCTGATCTACAGGCAACACTGATATCCCTTTTCACTTCCCACTCTGCTGGTGCCATCTGCCATGGTGCCACCTATCACAAAACATGCATCTAGGAGGGGAAGCTACTATCTTCAAGTTCCTTCTTAGAGAGAGGAGCTGGGGGCCAGGCAGGGGCTTGTGGGCTCCTAGGGAGAAAACTCTGCACAGGCTATGGAGGGGCCTGTCTCACTTCCCTTCATCTCCAGCCTGGCTGACTCACTGCTGTTATGGACTCAGCCCCTTGTGAACTCTAGGAAGGGCTGCCATTTCTTCTGCACGTGTCATCGGTGTGTGAAAATCACACAAATGCTGTGGACCTGTTATAGACCAAGTGCAACATTGACAGGGTCTCTGTGAGGAGAGAACTGATGACTGTTATAAAACTCAAACACCCCTTGAAGACACACATTCCCTCTGAAAGTTCTTAGTATTGTTCAACCTGCTCTGGGGTGGCTGCATCTGAGCCAGCAGATGCTTTCATGTATTAGGAGAAAAGACAAACCAGGTCACAAGGTGACATGTACAGAAACCATCCCACTTCTGTTCAGTATAGATGTGTGTGTACCTCTGTGAAAGTTTAGAAGACAAACACATTTAAGAAATTTACCATGTTATCAGATGGTTTCTGGGACTAATTTTCCTTTATGTGTGTTCTGTAGTAAGAAACACCTGTGTAATTGAAGATGCTGGATTCTGCCAAGGACTCCTCAGTGTAACCTGCCAGCAGCTCACCTTCCATACCTGCTGTGTTTTCATTTGCATTGAGGTGGTGCTGAGCTACCCTGTGGCCTAAAATCCACACATAATACACCCTCCTTGACTGGGTTTTTGCCGTGGTGGCTACGTGACCTCAGGCAAATTACTTAACCTATCTGAGCCAGTTATTTTTTATTTGTAGCATGAGTATAATAAACCCTTCCTTGCAGAACTGTTTCCATGAGTAGAGGTGGTGTGGAAAAGGCACACAGCAGGGTACCTGTGACAGAGTGGACCTCAACAAGTCCTGCTGTTACTATTAATAACAGCCAATGCACAGCCCAGTACAGAGAGGGTGGCCTGGCAGCTGCTGGAGGCTGGGAAGGCTGGCCTATTTCTGTAGCTCTCTGTGGGACATCATGTGCCTGGCTCCGGCATTGATCCAGCACTCAGACCTCCAGAAGCACCATTAGAGGTGGCTCTGGCTGTGCAGACAAATGTGATTCCAGACAGGTCTGAAGGTTCTGCTTTTGCACAGCACCCTCCTGTATGTAACCCGAGCTGCGTTGTGTTAAGGATGACCCGGGCTCACACAGCGAATTCCATCTCTGTCGGCCTCCCAGGGGCCTTGGCTTTAATTAAACAGTGAGGAGACTACAGGGTCTCCTGATAGCATCACATTTCCCCCCAGCATCGCTGTGAAGCCATTTTGCAGGCTTTTGCAATCTAAGCAAACAGACCTATAAAACACGTATCTGCTCTTGTTTGAAGTGCTTTTTCACTGATGGGTACTTCCTCTCAAGTAGCTCATTATATCAACGTGTAATGAGGCTCCCTGAGCCTCAGTTAACTGAGACAGAAATGGAA